CTTGACTCTCTCTGCTTGGTTTATATGAGATGCATTGCAATTTGAGTCACTTACAGAGACAATTCACCTCTCTTTTGTTTTTTCCCTCACTGATTGAAAGTTACAATATTTTTGTTGCTTCATTGAGCAGGTTTAATGATTTTGGTGAGGATGGTGGCCGATCAGCTAAATCTTTGAAACCAAAATTCAATGCCTTTGTAAACCATGTGACAACTCATACTGGCCAGCAATTGCCACCAGTCGATGTATGTGCTACTTCATTTCTAAACAGTAACCAAATCGTCTTTTTTTAGTTTTCCTATTTTGTTCACTCTGCTTTGGTTTGCAGATGAAGATTCTTGTTGCTGCTGCCATAGCCTTGAAGGGTATTGGGGGACTGTTGTTCGTCTTTGGCAGCTCCTTGGGAGCTTATCTCTTGGTATGTAGCAACTGTTCCTTTCAAATATATTGTCGCTTATCTGAATGAAGAAAATAACCCTGCTATACTCTATGAAATCTGGTTTCAGCTTCTGCATCAAGCCGTTGCCACCCCAATTCTGTACGATTTCTACAACTACGATGTTGACAGAAAGGAATTTGGCCAACTATTTTCAAAATTTACTCAGGTTAGCAAATCTAATATTGGTTTTTTTTGTTGGTTATCCTTGCCTAGCATTAAGCGAGAATGAAGTCTAAACAAATTCAGTTGTAAAATAATATAAGTAGTGGTTTTACGGGTTGGAATTTGAGTTCCATATTCATTCTTAATCCAGACCTGAGATCTTATATTTTGTGTATTTGAATCTTTCAGAGCTTGGCTCTCCTTGGAGCACTGCTCTTCTTCATTGGGATGAAGAACTCAAGGAAACACGGTAGGCAACTCAGGAAAAAGGCTCCAAAGGCAAAAGCAAACTGAAAAAGCCACATCTTTCATCGGTTTATTCGGTCTGTATTTTATTTTCATTTTGGAATCCAGGATGGGTTTAAAGAGTGTATCCTATGAGGCCATTGAAAGGCAAAATCTACTTCATGAAGCTTTTATGATACTTTTTTTTGTAGAGATATTTATGGTTCTTTAGAGAGACACCATTTCAATTTAGATTTTGCTTTTCTTATTTCATAATGTGACTGATTTATTTCACCATTTCAACCTCATTAAATCCATTTTCACTATACAGTGAATGGTAACAATATTAATTTACATACAGAAGGTAACAAAATCTAGAAGCTCTCGTAGCTCAGTTGGTTAGAGCACCCGTTTAGTAAGCGGGAGGTCTTGAGTTCGACTCTCAACGAGAGCATTTTTTTTGTCTGAGACTTTTCCAACTCAGAGAAGAATCAGATCACACAGTCAAAAGTCTCTATGCATAAATCTACAAGATACAAGAAAAATCACAAGTTTCTGGAGTTATATTTATTTTATATTAAAAATACAACCCAAGATCAAGAGTAAAGCGTTTACACTTGCCAAACGGAAGAATCCTAAACCAAGTGATTCAGAGATCTCTATAAATTCCCTATGGGTACCAAAAAAACAATTGAGAGTTTAAGCAGCAGGAGGCCTGAGTTCTTGGTCACGAGATGTGTCACGAACCGATTGAGGCATATAATGCCACATTGGCATGTAACCGTAACTCGGGTAAACAGCCATTTTGTTGTGGCTAAATGCAGCTGGAATCTGAGGCATGAGCCCTGAAGATGGAACCGTCATAGACTTTAATTGTTGTTCCGTTTTCTCTTTATCCACCTTCAACACCAGCTTTTCCTCCCTCAGCTCGTTCTTCTCTGCCTATAAAGAAACATACAAACTTAGAAATCTGCTCTCCTTCCATAGACCAAGATTCTTAGTTTATGGGAAAGTGAACGAACAACCAACCTTGAGACTCTTGATCTCCTCTAAAAGCTTCTGGTTCGTTTCTTCAAGTTTATGAGCTTCATCTCTAAGTTGATTCAATATACGGATTGCATCATCGAGTATAGCCGGTTTATCTGTCTTTGGAGTCCTCCCAGGCTCCAAAACCGAGCTCAAATCCATGAACCTAACACCACAAAAACATTTTTTTCCTCTTGAGACAACTCACTTCACAAAACAAACACATAGACTAAGCTCTAACCATACCTCTCATTTAGCTTCTCCCTCCTCATTCTTTCACGACACGCTTTGGTTCCTCCACCTCTGCTACACGATCCAGTCCTTGCCCTATCAACAACCATCACAGATTCAATCAAAAACACAACCAACTACCACCAAATCACACAAAGTTTATATTTTTCCAACACTTACCGCTTCCGCGAGCAATCGTCATCTAAATGTTCCTGTTCTTGCTTAACAGCTCCACCAGATGAACCAGAATTGATCTCTACTTCATCTTCCTGCACAATTCCACAATCTTTCTGCCCTACGTGTTCAGGCTCTTGCGACAAAACTCCATTATACGACGACAAATCCAATTGAGCAGCTCCAATACTAAAGACTTCTTCTGGATCCTGCTGCAAATTCACACCATATGACGCAAAATCTGGAAAGGTATCTTCTTGATCAGGCTGCAAATTTACACCAAATTGTGTGTAATCATCAAGTTCTGCTCCATTACTGCAAGAGTCATCATGAACAAAAAGATCCACATCCATCAATTTGGAGTAAATTGATTAACACAACAACAAGATCCATAGAGCTACTTCTTCTCCTATTCAATTTGAGAGCTTTCAATTACATTAGGGTTCGTCAAATTACATCAAAAGACTCAAACTTTTTCACCTGAAATGCGGAAACACAACAACCCTTTTCACAGAAATCGAATTGAACATTAAAGATAGGATTTTGCAATTGGGAAATGGATCAAATTCGATTAAACAACAGAATCGAAACAGATAGAGAGAACAGAGGAAGGAAGAAGGAAGAGAGAGTCGAAAGAAAGAACCTTTGATCGAAGCAAAACAAATCAGAGACGAAATCATCATCGTCGAGAGAAGGATACATTTGAGAGTCTCCTCCAAACAGATTTGAGATTTGTGGAAAGCTTCAACGAAGACGCCAATGTTGGAAAAATATAAACTATAGAGATTATTAAAGCGATCCCATTTAAATTATTCCCAATGACGACAAGGAGATAAGAATGGTGGGAACAATATTCGCCGATTTGATATTAGTGGAAATAAAAAGAGACGATTGTTTTTCACTCAAATTCCTATTCGGGAAAAGACAAATCGCCTTAATAAAACTTTTTTGAAGTATTGAAAGATAGACAACCAAAAAAAACAGAATCATATTTTTTTATGTAATGCATAGATATTGGGGAATTTTATTGCATTTGTATTGTTCTTTTTTGGGTAGTAACTTTTCTCTATCGAGTGGAGTTGGTAAACCAATCCGATGCAAATACGTCTAAAAGAAAAGCAAATCGTTGATACTTTTTTTACGAGTAAGAGGATCAGCTTGAGAACTACACAATCTAGGAATCAAATTTAATGAGAAAAAAAGAAACAAACTTCGCGAAACGCAAGAATTCATATGGTTTTATTGAAATAGTTGTTCGGCCGCCATGTCAATTCGGATTTTGAATCTGCGAGTTGGACATAATCTGCTTCATTATAGGGAGGGTTAAGGTTATACTTTTAGATGTCTAGAAAAGCAGGGCTAGTGAGTTAGTCTATTGCGGATTGCAATCTCAAATTAGTTAACTCGCATAGCCAACGAGTTAACCCACCAACATAATAATATATTGTAATCTATCATAAATTTATTTTACTATGTATAAAAATCAAATGTGAAAAAGTTTTCTACTTCTCAAAATAACTAAACAAGAAAAAGCTGAAATTTCAAAAACATGCAAATCGACAGCAAAATCTACGGTCATAAAATGGATTGGGTTAGTAGTGTTGCTGATCTAGCTCTCCAGTCTTGTGCCAACTCGCCAAAAACACAGAAAATATTTTAATCAACTGGTGGGTTTAGTGAAGCAAAATAATCCGATATGACATTCCTATAGACATGAGTAAGCTGTAAGATTAAGGAAAAAAAAAAAATCCTATACATTAAAAAAAAGAGAGAGAAGGAAATCAAAAGTAAATGAGGGAATAACAAGATGAAAGATTATTGAAGATATGATGAGATTCATATCTTGATAGAGCCCGTCTAATCAAAATCGTATAAGCATGCATCAACATCGACAAAAAGAAGAGTCTACCTATTACCTAGTCATGTTGTGGTCAGTGGTTACAGTGAACGAATAAAGAGGGTCCCTAAGTTTTCGTACCTCTTGGAACAATCTAACGTCGTTTGTCGTTCCCAAACGCATCTTCAAATTTGTATACCCCAACATAAAATAATAATTCTTGTGAAGTATCATCTATGTTGCTCTTGAAAACGACTCATGTGGAACGCACGACGAGAGTAAAAATCAATTTACTTTTTTTTGTCAACCGTATTAAGCAACTATTCGATTGTTTAGTTAAACCCTATACCTAAGAAAAACTACACGATTGTTTTTTTTTTTTTTTTTTGATTACCGAAAAACTACACGATTGTTTACTTAAAACTTGATTGGTTTCTCTGCATATGTATTTGAAAAGCTCATAGAGATCAGAGTTTTGTTGTTTAAACTTGAAAAGGCTTGAGGCCCAAGTTAACTAAATAAGTCGGTTTAGTTAATAGAGTTTGTGATAAGGTTTAGCTAGGTTTAGGAGATATCTAATCCTAGTGTGTTTGGGATTTGTTCTCTATATATAGAGGTGCCAAGATGTGGCTAATCCTATGAGTTTTGAGAGAGAACAAGAGAGATTTGTGAGGTTTAAGTTTTGAGTAAGTTTCTTAAACATAATAAAGAGAGAAGTCTTTGTTAAACAAGTCTTGTGTTCTTAAGTGTTTTGATCAATAAGTTTATTTAATTCGAGACAATATTGTTATGTTAATAAATTCCACAACACAACATGTTAAGTTGATGTGATTTTTTTCTAGATTTAAGAAGCCAACTCTTTCTTAATATTTATTCTGATTCGCCTTTGCAAAATCTTTGCTCGGTTTTTCTCACTGCAACAACAACCACTTAATTTGTTTCCAATGAACCTCTTTTTTTGAAACACCTACCATATTTTTAGTTCTATCTTTAAACAAAGCAGTTAAAAAACCTATTTTAAAATAAAATCTTATCCGAAAAAAACCTATTTTAACAAAAGTTTTTACAGCTAAGCCCACATGCATCTTTTACTTATTTTTTAAAATAATATTCATTACAAGCATAACAATTATATTGGTGTGGAAGCCCCCTTGGCCCATTGGTTGACCAAGGGTTGATTAATGCTTCTACACCAAAAAGTCTGGGGTTCGAGTCCCAGGTATTGCGATTTATTAACAAATTTGCAGATTAATGGAGGCAAGTGTGCAAGAGATCTCCAGCGATGTACAATTATAGCCGTTCGCCAGGATTCTACGCAGAGAAGGAAGTGTAGCGAGGTCGTGGATCATTGAAGGTATTCATCAAGATTACGAAGAAGGAAGTGTAGTCTGTCGTGAATCTAGTAAGGGTCGGAAGGAATTGTCAGTTGTAGAATCGTCTATGTAACAGTTCTCATAATTTGCAATTAATAATAAATCTAGACGACAAAAAAAAAAAAAAGCAATTATATTGGTTAGTGGATAATACATGCAATTTTAAATATTCACAGAAGAAACAGACAACGACACTATCATTTAAACATATCTCGTAGCTTTATTGCTTCATGAGAACAAAAATCTCCTTAAGTCAGTAAACTTTCGAAGCTTTATACATACGAACCATGCCTTGCCATAGGCAGCAAACTCTTACTCAAACTCTTACGACAAAATATAAATTGTATCCAAGCCACAATAGCCTCAGACAATTTTTTATACTCTATAAAAGTCACGAGAAAGTCACCAGCGAAAGTGGGAGTAACGTGTGACCGTTGTAGCAGGACGTGAGGGCCAAGGATAAAGATTGCCCAAAAGAAGAATAAAAAACATATAATGCAAATGATGATTAAAAGCCATCTCATATGCCCAATTGCAGTGACCACTGTTGTTTATTCTTTCTAGTGGAGGAAGGAAAATTATATGTATATATTATATATATATAAAAGAAGAAAAAAAGAAAGTGTCGGCAAGAGAACATAACACACAAGAAAAAGAAAAAGAAAAACAAAAAGAGAGAGAAGAGAAAAAGAGAGAGAAAGGGGATTTCGGCCAGATTATTCAAGACAACGTTTGAGGGCTCTAAAGTGTTCTGATCGGGCTTATATTTTGTGGATAGCTTCGTGACTCAGTGGTCTTCAGATTCAACGGTGGAGATTTGGTTTCAACGGTTGGTTTGTGAGAAATCCGAGTTTTAGCGTAGCTGGTCGCCATAGTTCTTCAGCTGGTGTGGTCTTGAGTGTTTGAAAGATCCAACGGTGAGTTCTTCTCGGTTTGAGCTGAAATTTTGCAGAGGTGTTCCTGACCTGTTTATCTAGGATTTGTACGGTGGAGATTTGATTTGGTGACCGGAATCTTAGCGAACCTAGGGTCGTTTGGAACTGCATATTTTAGGCTCTTGTTGCTCTCTGTTGTTGAGTTTTTCTTGTGTTGGAGATTGCTCTTTGGAGCCTTAGTCTCTGTATCTGTTCTTGTGGAACAGGGAGGACGTGGTTGTAACACTCATACATTTGATATAGTGGATTTTGAGTGGACTACGGTCCCGTGGTTTTTCCTTCTCACATCGAGAAGGTTTTCCACGTAAAAATTGGTGGTCTCATTTACTTTAAGTTTTGAAGTTATTGCTGCCAAGTCCATTGTATTTTTCCTCACAAGGTTCACATTAGTTCGGGTGAAACTTTAGTCCGCTGCGTAATCGTGTGTCGTTTCCCCAACAGAGTGGTATCAGAGCTTCTTGGTTTTGAGCTTTGGTTTTGATAACTTTGGGTTATTAATTTGCTTCTGTGAGCGATGGAAAATATGGGCAGGATGGAAAATATGGGCAGAATGATAAGCTTGAATGGTTCTAATTATCATCTATGGAAAGGCAAGATGGAAGATTTGCTTTTTGTGAAAGAATTTCATGTTCCAATCTTTGAGGAGAAGAAACCTGTAGAGAAGACTGATGATCAGTGGAAGTTGCAACATCGCCAAGTGTGTGGTTTGATAAGGCAATGGGTAGATGATAATGTGTTGAATCATATTGAAAATGAGATTGATGCTCGTTCTTTGTGGTTGAAGCTAGAGCAATTGTACGCTCGGAAGACCGGGAATGATAAGATGTACATGATCAAGAAGTTGATTGAGTTGAGGTATCAGGAGGGAACTCCAATGACTGATCACTTAAATGTATTTCAGGGGCTGCTCAATAAACTGTCTGATATGGGAATCAAGTTTGAGGATGAGATTCACGGTCTGTGGCTTCTTGGTACACTACCAGATTCATGGAAGGTGTTTAGGATGTCTCTTTGTAACTCTACTTCGAATGGTGTTATTTCGATGGATATGGTGAAGAACAGTGTCTTGAATGAGGAAACTAGAAGGCAGTCAAATGCTAGTTCCTCAAGATCAGATGTGTTAGTCACTGAGTCAAGGGGGAGGAGCTCATCTAGAGATCCTAAGAAAGACAAGAACAGGAGCAGGAGCAAATCTAACAAATTTGCGAATTTAGAGTGCCATTATTGTCATAAGAAAGGGCACATAAAGAAAGACTGCTGGAAGTTGAAGAAAGACAAGCAACAAGGGAAGCAAGAAGAAGTAGATCGTGTGACAATCACTGACGATCAATTTCTCATTCTTCTTGAAGATGATGCCATTAATGTATGTCAAGACACCAGTTGGGTGGTTGATAGTGGAGCTACTACTCATGCTACATCACAGCGGGATTTGTTCTCTACCTATACTTCGGGTAGTTATGGTTCTGTGAAGATGGGGAATGATGGTTTGGCTCAGGTTGTTGGCATTGGTGATATTTGCTTGGAGACTAGTATTGGGACTAGACTTATGCTTAAAGATGTTAAGCATGTCCCAGATCTTCGGATGAATTTGATATCTACGGGAAGACTTGATGATGAAGGTTTCTACAGTTTACACGGCGGTGGTAAATGGAAGCTTTCACGTGGTTCTTTGGTTGTGGCTCGAGGGGAGAAGCTTTCATCTTTCTATTTGATGCAGGCTAAGGTCTCCAAAGACAGTGTTAATGCTTTGGAGAATGATCATGCCATGGAATTGTGGCATAAGAGACTCGGTCACATGAGTGAGAAGGGAATGTCTGTGTTGTCTAAGAAGGAAGCTATTCCAGGTATCTCCGGTTTGCACTTGGAGAAATGTGCGCATTGTTTGCGGGGAAAACAACACAGGGTCTCTTTCAAGTCTTCTGCACCTTCTAGAAAACCTGAGGTACTTGATCTGGTTCATTCAGATGTGTGTGGTCCAATGAAAACAAAATCTCTTGGTGGTGCATCATATTTTGTCACTTTCATTGATGATCATTCAAGGAAGTTGTGGGTTTTTACTATGAGGACGAAAGATCAGGTTCTAGGATACTTCAAGCAGTTTGTGGCATTGGTTGAGAGACAGACGGGAAAGAAGTTGAAGTGTATCCGCAGTGATAATGGTGGTGAGTATTCTGGACCATTTGATGTTTATTGCAAGGAACATGGTATTAGACATCAGTTCACGCCGCCTAAGACTCCACAGTTGAATGGGTTGGCTGAGAGGATGAACAGAACTATTGTCGAGAGAATGAGATGTTTGATTTCACAATCAGGCTTGGCGATGACTTTCTGGGGTGAGGCTTTAAGCACGGTTGTTCATGTGCTGAATCTATCACCGAGTGCTCCATTGGAGGGTGATAGTCCAGAGAGGGTGTGGACCGGTAAGAACGTTTCTTATGGTCATTTGAGGGTCTTTGGGTGTAAGGCATTTGTTCATATTCCCAAGGATGAAAGGTCGAAGCTTGAGATGAAGTCGCGACAATGTGTGTTCATTGGTTATGGTCAGGATGAGTTTGGATACAGATTTTATGATCCCGTTGAGAAGAAGCTCATTAGGAGCAGAGATGTTGTGTTCATGGAAGATCAAACGATTAAGGACATTGACAAGTCCGGAAATCCAACTCAGAGTTATGAGAATTTGATTGATTCAGTGGTTGCTCCTTCTACATCGGTTCACGGTCAGGTCGAGGATGAGGTTCAATATGATACACCTGGTGCAGATGCTCCCGCACATGATGATGGTATTGGTGATCATGATGACGATCATGGTGAGACACCAACTACCGAGAACCCTCCTATTGTTAGAAGATCTGAGAGAGGTTTAAAACCGTCGACAAGGTATGATCCTAGTGAGTATGTGCTACTTACTGATGGGGGAGAACCTGAAAGCTTTGATGAAGCTTTAGAGGATGAACACAAGGATGAATGGCATGATGCCATGGGTGACGAGATGGATTCTTTTGCAGAGAACCATACTTTTGAGTTGGTGAAATTGCCTAAGGGCAAGAAGGCATTGCTTAATAAGTGGATGTACAAGATTAAGCATGATGAGACCAGTTTGTCACCTCGATACAAGGCTAGATTGGTTGTAAAAGGGTACGGCCAAAAGAAGGGGATTGATTATGATGAAATCTTTTCTCCTGTTGTGAAGATGTCATCCATTCGGGTTGTACTTGGATTGGCAGCGAGCCTTGATCTAGAGGTTGAGCAAATGGATGTAAAGACTGCTTTTCTTCATGGAGATTTGGAGGAAGAGATTTACATGGTACAACCGGAAGGCTTTGTGAAAAAGGGCAAACAGGATTTAGTTTGTCGCTTGAAGAAAAGTCTTTATGGTTTGAAACAGGCACCAAGGCAGTGGTATAAGAAGTTTGAGTCAGTTATGGGGGAGCATGGTTATAAGAAGACTACTTCTGATCATTGTGTGTTTGTGCAAATGTTTGGTGAAGATGATTTTATCGTCTTGCTATTGTATGTTGATGACATGTTGATTGTTGGCAAGAACTTGAGCAGAATTCAAGAGTTGAAGAACCAGCTTGGAAAGTCCTTTGCCATGAAAGATTTGGGTCCAGCGAAACAGATTCTTGGTATGAGAATTGTTCGAGATAGAGGTGAGAAGTTGATTTACTTATCTCAGGAGAGGTACATTGAAAAGGTACTTCAAAGGTTTCACATGGACAAGTCTAAAGTTGTTAGCACTCCTCTTGCTACACACTTTAGATTGAACAGTCAACAGAGTCCGAAAACAAAGTTGGAGAAAGAAGATATGGCACGGGTTCCATATGCTTCTGTAGTTGGTAGCTTGATGTATGCTATGGTCTGTACAAGACCTGATATAGCTCACGTTGTTGGTACAGTTAGTCGTTTTCTCTCCAATCCTGGAAGAGAACACTGGAATGCTGTGAAGTGGATTTTGAGATATCTTCGAGGGACTTCCGATCTGAAGCTTACTTTTGGAGGTGATAAGTCACTACTTGTCAGTTATACTGATTCTGATTTGTCTGGGGATCCTGATTCCAGTAAGTCTACTTCGGGTTACTTGGTAACATTTGCTGGGGGAGCTGTGGCATGGCAATCAAGGTTACAGAAGTGTGTTGCATTTTCTACCACTGAAGCTGAGTTTATAGCCGCAACAGAAGCTTGTAAGGAGTTGTTGTGGATGAAAAATTATCTTGAGGATCTCGGTTTCAAGCAAGATAATTATGTATTGCTTTGTGATAACGAAGGCGCAATTCATCTTGGAAAGAACTCTACATTTCATTCGCGTTCGAAACACATTAATAGAAGGTATCATTGGATACGTGATGTGGTTGCTTCTAAGGAAGTGGAACTTGCAAAAGTTCATACGGATGATAATGGAGCTGATATGATGACAAAGTCATTACCGAGGGGGAAGCTTGAAGTATGCCGAGAGATAGCCGGAATGGCTGTTTCCTCCACCTAGTCGGAGGGGGAGTTTGTTGTTTATTCCTTCTAGTGGAGGAAGGAAAATTATATGTATATATTATATATATATAAAAGAAGAAAAAAAGAAAGTGTCGGCAAGAGAACATAACACACAAGAAAAAGAAAAAGAAAAACAAAAAGAGAGAGAAGAGAAAAAGAGAGAGAAAGGGGATTTCGGCCAGATTATTCAAGACAACGTTTGAGGGCTCTAAAGTGTTCTGATCGGGCTTATATTTTGTGGATAGCTTCGTGACTCAGTGGTCTTCAGATTCAACGGTGGAGATTTGGTTTCAACGGTTGGTTTGTGAGAAATCCGAGTTTTAGCGTAGCTGGTCGCCATAGTTCGTCAGCTGGTGTGGTCTTGAGTGTTTGAAAGATCCAACGGTGAGTTCTTCTCGGTTTGAGCTGAAATTTTTCAGAGGTGTTCCTGACCTGTTTATCTAGGATTTGTACGGTGGAGATTTGATTTGGTGACCGGAATCTTAGCGAACCTAGGGTCGTTTGGAACTGCATATTTTAGGCTCTTGTTGCTCTCTGTTGTTGAGTTTTTCTTGTGTTGGAGATTGCTCTTTGGAGCCTTAGTCTCTGTATCTGTTCTTGTGGAACAGGGAGGACGTGGTTGTAACACTCATACATTTGATATAGTGGATTTTGAGTGGACTACGGTCCCGTGGTTTTTCCTTCTCACATCGAGAAGGTTTTCCACGTAAAAATTGGTGGTCTCATTTACTTTAAGTTTTGAAGTTATTGCTGCCAAGTCCATTGTATTTTTCCTCACAAGGTTCACATTAGTTCGGGTGAAACTTTAGTCCGCTGCGTAATCGTGTGTCGTTTCCCCAACAACCACACCAAAAAGGAATGCCAAGGGCATGCAGAGTAGAGCAATAAGCAGTAAGGCAATGCCACATGTAAGGATGAACGGATTAGTTTTGGATCACCCGACTGCGCCCAAATAAGAATACCTATTGTTGCAAAGGAACATTGCATTGCCAAAATGTCAAGTAGCAGAAAAATGAAGAGAGTTGGGTAAGTGGCCAAAGTTGCCCTGCCCTAAGTGTGGAGCAGAGCTCTTAACCCCACCTGGTATTGTAAAACCTGCAGCAAACGTCATTGTGGCTACAAGAGTCGCAACCAGGAGAAGAGTGTTGATGTAATCTCTGTTATTCTTAGGGTCCAGTGGCGGCACTGCCGGTCTCGTTAATGAACTAAGAGATTCGAAACCCGTTTTGTCAATAGCGTATAATAAGAGCGCCAATGTCCACCTCTGAAATCATTTGTGGTATCAAATGTGTTGTATGAAACGGAATTAGACATACCTCTTGAAAGATGTAGTTGGGTTTCAAGACGGCAAGGTGCAAAGGTGTATTCCCGTCCACATCTTGCCCAACACCCAGATGTTTCGTATCTTTTTCACTCATCAACGAATTTGCAGTAGAAGATTCCCCATTTTTTGCTGCCACGTGGAGAACATTCTGACCAAGTTTGTTGAGCAGGTATATTGAATCTGAACAGCTTTTTATAAACTTTTTAACAATTTTTTCATGACCTTTCTCTGCAGCCGTATGAATTGGAAAGGAACCATCTTGGTCGCAGACATAAACTCCCTTTTTTGATCGATTTAAAAGGTTGCATACTCCTTCACAATACCCTATATATGCTCCTAGTGAAAGACAAGTCCTACCATCTTTATCTCGCACGTCCATAAGACTTGGATATTCGTCAAGAATAACATCAAGGACACCTACTCAAACAATTGGTAACAACAATTAGTATACATAGGAAGATTTTTACCGTCTTGGGGAGGATTTTTTTTGTTGTCTCAAATTGGAATTTGAACAGACTACTGTTTAAAGCGAAAAACAAACCTATACTCTTGGCATGCAAAGCAACATGTGCAAGATATTTGTTCCCTTGCAATTTCGAATCTAAGTTATACCTCCTCACTTCAACGTCCTTGTTGCCTATGGTTTTCAAAATTGCTTTCACAATGGATACTGCTTCATACAAGGAAGATATTCCCTCGTTATTTGCAAGAAAAGGAGCATCCTGGTTGGCGTTCACCAGACAGGTAGCCATCTCCTTATAGCGTCCTTCAATGGCGTAGTACAAAGCAGTATTTCCATCTTTGTCCTTGAGAACATACGGATTCAGTCTCAGTCTCTGACTTTCTTCAGTACACAGTCTAGCTGAAGCAAATGTTATCGTCTCAACAACACATGTATGACCGCCATGAGCCGCCAAATGAAGTGGTGTCTGATCGCTCGAGTTTTGCTCCAATAGAAGGCACGGATATGTAGGGATAATCGCCTTCACTAGTTTTAGATGACCCCATGTAGCAGCAAGATGAAGAATTGAATCTCCTGTATTGCTCTTGAGACGTGCCATTGGCGTTCCTTGGCTTCTAAACTTCTCCAGACATTCTTTCTTCCCTTCACACATTCCACTGAAAATCTTCGGAGACATCTGGACATCTTCACCAGGGAGAGCGAAAAAATCCGACACTCTAAGGTTAGTAAGGTACTCTGGCACAGATTCGGTGTCTCCCGTAGGTGGACTGGCTCATTTCGTTTTTCTTCAAAATAGCCTGAAATCTTTTCTCCCGCGATGTCTAAGTCCTAGTTATTTTTAACAAGAATAAAGTACTAGAATAGTTTTTTTTTGTTCTTTATGTAGATTGGTTTGGTAGGGGTCAATAATTATTTCATAATGGAGTCACTAGCTATACTTGTTAATAAAGCACATATAATGAATATTTAGTATTTATGGAGTCCCCTATGAGTCACTCGTACCTCCGGCACTTATTTATGTTCCGTTCCGTTGACCGTGAGACACATCCGTTGGCCTTTGTGCCTCAATTCTATCTAGATCTGTTCCAGAACCATCCATCTCAAACCTAAAATCATCACAAAAATTGTTTGAAAACACAGATTTAAGTTACTGAAATATAACGTAATGTCTTGCTTTATTCAATACTCAATAGAGTAGAAGAGTATTTATACACATACAGATTGCCTAGTCTTGATAGAATCGTATCTAAGTAACTATATTGATATATATCCTAATCTATGTATACATTTTTGGATCATAATTAGCAAATAAATCCTGAAGTTGAGAAGTATTTACAATGACATGCCACTAGCATTAATTATTTAGATTTATTTTATTTAAGTAAAGATTTTTAATTGAAATTCATTTCTCATATATTTAGCAAAAGTCTCTGTGGATGTCGGATTCACACACTCAAGTATTTTGTTAAGTGGGAAAGATTATTTTTGAGGGACAAAAATGAATATGTAAAAACTTATAAATTGATACGAAAATTGCTATAGTATTTCTCTCTTGAGAGGAAGATCCCCCTTACATGACCATTGGCCTCTATATTTATACATAGATAAACGATATTAAAATGAGTAATTAAGTACAATTATTCCTTCTTAAATGTGTCCGTTTTGATTCTTCGACTTTAATGCTCAACGTTTGAATTTGAGTTGACTCTGATCTTCATGGGCCTCGCCTCTTTTGGCCCAAGTGTCCTTGAACCGACTTACCCGTGTCTTCTACACCGAACTCGTGTCACAGTGCAGTCACTTCGGATTCTCGAAATGGTGACAACCACTTCGACCGTCCCTTCGGCTCACGGGTCCAATGGGCTTCATCTTTTATGGGCCATTATCTTGATTACGTGGCAATCTTTGGTTGGTCTCGTACTTCTGGTGCGGGATCCGACACCAACAATTAGCCCCCCAAGTTCTTCGAAGTGTTATTCCAATTCGGAGGACTTTAAATGCTCAAGTGGCCAAAGATTGCGCTCGAGAATCTTTCTGATTTCCCGCCGAAAATCTCATCACTCCTTTAATTTCGGCACTAGCCATTTTTAACCGAGTGACATCTGTCATCATTATGACCGTATATTGATTAATTACTATTAAAACGGGAAAAACCTTCCCACTTCCCACACGACTTCCGAGGCGGTTTCATCATTAGCTTGAGGTAACTTCTTTTCACCATTACTCTCTTCTTTTTACTTTTGTACTTTAATCAAAAACTCTCTCTTTTCTTCTTCACGAAAAACCTCTTTTCGCCGGATCTTGAAATTTTCATTTTTATTCGATGACTTCTGATTCTGAAAAACCTGAATCTCCGTCTTACGACGAAAGGCGTTCTAGTAATGACGAATGCACTCGTCCTAACGACATCGCCGGTCCTCATTACAAATCCACCTGTACTCTTCAATCCCTTGAGCGATTGAAGGGGCTTTGTCAAATTCCTCCTGGAATTATAGCGGAGGCGCAAATAGCCGACCCTACGGAATCTCCTGAGAACCACCGTGCCGGCTACTTTTGTGTTTACGAAATTTACTTCAAGGGCTGCGGATTGACCTTCCCCCTTCCCGAAGCCCTAGTTCGATTCTTGGCGGCTCTCGAGATCGCTTTGCCTCAATTAACCCCCAATCTCCTCCGAACCATCCTCGGGATTATAACTGTTGCGGCGGAGGCTGGCTACGTCATTGGAGTCCCCGAGCTGAATGAACTCCTAAGCGTAAGGAGTTCATCAAAGAAAACTGGGTACTTCTCGGCGTATCCAAATGCCAATAGAAACGTCATCTCGCACCTCCCGAACAAGGATGAGTACTGGCACCATCCTTGGTTTCTGATTAAGAAAAATCCTACTTCGATTGGGAATCTTTCCGATGTACTCCCATCGAAGTGGTCTGCGAAACCTGGTAGAGACTAGGTCGTATATTCCTTTATTGTTTATTATTATCTTTTACTGACCGAATTTGTTGTTTCATTTCGCAGCTTTTATCGCTTCAACTCTCCCGACTGAAGAATTTGTCAAGTTCTTCAAAACAATCCTTGAAGGAGAAACCCTTTGGAATTCTTTTTCCCTCGACCGATTTGTCGAGGCCAACCGGAAACTCAGGATGAGTCCTCCCAATCTACTTCATCGTCTTCCGCCTCCTCCCTCAACTCAGGGAATGTCAGCTCGGGCCCTCGCTGCCCAGCGTAAGAAGCTCTCCAAGCCGATAGCAGAGGCTTGTGATGAAAACAAGGCGTTCCTTGCGACCGCCATCGACAAAAAAGATTACAGCAGGACCCTGCTGGTTGATGACAACAGCTCCGAGGGAGCCAGATCCGTTGCTGCTTATAGGTTAACACCTCGCCGCAAACGCCGCGACGAGCGTTCTCCTCGGAGAGAGCGGTCTCCTCGTCGTGATTCTCCTCGTCCTCCCCGAGACGATTTCAGCAACGAAACTCTTAAGAATTTGGTTCGTAAGAAGAGGGACAAGTCGTCCCGTGATGACTCGTCTCCGCGAAGGGAGAAATCAAGGGCCCGGACTGACCGTTCACCTCGATCATCCCCTTCTGCTGAACCAATGGGTCCTCCCCGACCTGTTGACATGTCTTCTTCTTCCCAGCCCGTCAGCGAAAAGACTGCTCGGAGTGCATCCCCTAAAAGTGGAGATTCTGAATCTCGAGATGCTCCCTCGAGGCTAAAGCCTGCTCTTGTCCCTCAAGTCAAATCGCTTTCAGGTTTGGTGATTTACACATATTTAAACTTTTTGTCTTTATTAAAATTCCAATTTTTACAACTCTTCCTTCTTCGCAGCTATGGAGAAAGAGGGCAGCGTCTTCCGATGCTTCAAGACCCGATTGGATTCGATCCTGCCAGACTTCGACAAATGGCGCCCTGCGATTCGTGAACGCTATTTGCTTCACGCGCATCACTCATCTCGGGTTAGTTCCGTTTCTTCTTTTTTTTTTTTATTGCATTGCCATTCCGCGAACTAACTCGCCATCCCGGGTTCATGTATAATGCCAGGCTCATAGCGAACTTAACGACATGATCGAACATTACGAAGGGTTGGTCATTGGACGGGAGAAGGAGGTTGACATGTGGAAAAAGAAACTCTCTGCCCTTGAGGCTGAACTCAGTTCTTCTGTCGGCTCCAAGCACGATCTGGAGGACAAGGTCGACAGTTTAACATCAGAGCTTGCGCAGATAAAGGGGGAGCTGCAGGGTCAGTACGACCAGAACTTCAAGCTCCAGGAAGAGTTTTCTGGTGTTCAGGGTAGGCTTCAAGAATCCGAATCAACCGCCGATACCCTGAACAATCAAATCATCGAGCTTGACGCGAAGTACAAGCGCTAGCCAAGTTGCGTGATTCTGAGTTGGCAAGGTCGGCATCGAAGGCCAGAAAGGAGGTTAAGAGACGCGGGATGGAGTTGATCCAAGGGGCCATTCGCTTCATGCAAACTGAGAAGGCTAGGTCGGACTTGGAGTCAGACATCAAAGAGCATGAAAGCAACCTGATTCTGCTGGATCAAACCCATGAAGCAGATTTCTCTGAGGAGCAAGAGAGGACTGAGCTGTCAGCTAGTCTTTCTGAGAAACGGAGTCGCTTGGCAGCTCTTCCCACTTCGACCTTCAACCCGCTTGACTTCGAGGAATTCTTTACTGAATCACCTCCTATAAGTGAATCGGGTTTAGACTGGGCAGGTAACACTTGGCTCCTGAGGCTTACCTTTTCTTACCTTGTACCTTTGATTGACTGGAATTATTATTTCCAGGTTCAAGTGAGACGGAAGGCATTGTCCCGCCCGTAGCTCCTATGGTACCGGAGGTCACTTCGGAGGTTGGTCGTACCGCGGAGGGTGGTCAGGGAGCTTCATCTGATCAAGCACCAGTCAAGGAGGTGAATGAAACTCTGGTTGCTGAGCCGGAATCTGAGGTGGAGATCACTCCGTAGTGGCTGTGTCCACTTTAAATTGGGGATTGTCCCTTTTATTTTAAGACTTAATTTCGAACTTATTTTTGGCCTAAGGAGGCTTTATTGTTTCTTTTGAACAAGATATTTGCCTGAGAAGGCTTTTAAACCTTTCTAGGTTGTGACCCAAGGGGGTTTGGTTAAAATTATATGCGGGTTTGCAAAGTCCGCTTTTAACCTTTTGTGGCCATGTGGTTATGCTTTTGAGATTTTTAGGCTGATCAGACCTTTCTCTTTAGAATGCGAGAACTGAGCTCGGCTTAAAGCGAGTTCCCCACTTCGGGTTTAGTCAACTCGATAAACTTACTAGGCTTGGGCCTTAGAAACTTTTGTAGTTAATGCGACGGTTGCGCTTTCCCTTCTTATAAGTAAGGAAAACGGCTCGTCTTTAATGCAAAAAATGCTTTTTCTCGATTTCCAAAAATGGTTTAAACCACTCGGACACACTACCATTATTGGGTTTATGGTTCCAAGACAAACCCTAAATCATTATAAATAAAGGCTTACCTACTTCTAAGCTTTATTTACACATGACTTTAGAATCTTACTTGAGGAATATTTCGAGAATGGAAAACGAAGGAGTAGCTCCCATCGCCCCCGGCAGCCCACTTTTCTTGTCCGGCGACGGATTTGAACCGGCCGGCGTGCTCTTTCCCCACGCCGTCTTTCACTTCCCTTCAAAGGAGAAGAAAGAGGCTTGCGACTTCATTGACAAGGTAAATATTTAAAGTTTTTGACTGAAAACTTTTTGCTTCATCTTATTCACTCATCTTTATGCTAGGTCGCCGACAAGCACCGTCGCTTGTGTGAAGAGAGGCAGCGGCTGGGCCTCAAAAGGCAAACACTCGAGGCTCGCATCGCTCGGGTGGAGAGGAAGATACGGGCCTTGGAAAGTGATCCCTTCCAATGGGAATGGCGGAACTTCGACTCCATCGCTGAGATCCCGAAGATGCTTCGGATGTATCTCCGTGCTAAAGGAGTCTCAGGTCCCGTGAACGTCCCTGTCTGCGCCGTTCCATCTGACAGTGAAGAGGAAGACGATTTGGAGGAGGAGGCCAGCAACTGTCGGAAACGTGTTCGGGATCGTTCCGAAGTGGATGCCAAGAACAAGGCGTCC